CGGGCGGGGGGGGGGGGACACAATAGACACACACACGTTGGGCACACCCTGATGGCCCCGTTGTGTGTCACCCACCCAGAGAAGGTGTTTTGGGTCCCCAACCGTGCCTTCGAGCCCGCCCGGCTGCCCGTCATCCTGGGCATCCAGAATGGTACCCGCTGCCTGGCCAGCCCCCCCGCCCGCCAGCCCACCCTGCAGCTGCAGGTCAGGGGACACCGTGGGGACGGGGACGCTGAGGGGACACCAAAGGGATGGGGATGCCACAGGGACTGGGATGCCACAGGGATGCCACGGGGAGAGGGACGCTGCGGGGATGGGGATGCCACAGGGATGGGGATGGCAAAGGGATGAAGATGCCAAGGGGACAAGGCTGGGGACACCAAAGGGATGGGGACACTGTGGGGGTGGGGATACCACGGGGACAGGGACGCCACGAGAGTGCCGTGGGGATGGGGACACTGCGGGAATGGGAATGCCAGGGATGCCACAGGGATGGGGACACCAAAAAGATGGGGATGCCACCGGGACTGGGATGCCACGGGGGTGCCATGGGGACAAGGACACTGCGGGGATGGGGACGCTGAGGATGCCACAAGGCTGGGGACACCAAAGGGATGGGGACACTGTGGGGATGGGGATGCCACGGGGACAAGGCTGGGGACACCAAAGGGATGGGGACACTGTGGGGGTGGGGATACCATGGGGACAGGGATGCCACGGGGGCGCCATGGGGATGGGGACACTGCGGGAACGGGAATGCCAGAGATGCCACAGGGATGGGGACACCAAAAAGATGGGGATGCCACCGGGACTGGGATGCCACGGGGGTGCCATGGGGACAAGGACACCACAGGGATGGGGATGCCACAGGGACAGGGATGCCACGGGGATGGGGACGCCAAGGGGACGGGGATGCTGTGGGGACTGGGATGCCACGGGGGTGCCATGGGGATAAGGACACTGCGGGGATGGCAATGCCACAGGGATGGGGAGACCAAAGGGATGGGGACACCAAAGGGATGGGGATGCCATGGGGACGGGGATGCCATGGGTGCGCTATGGGGACAAGGACCCTGTGGGGACGGGGAGGCCGAAGATGCCACAGGGACGGGGACACCGTGGGGACAAAGATGCCATAGGGATGGGGACACCAGGGGGATGGGGGTGCCACAGGGATGGGGACACCAAGGGGACAGAGATGCTATGGGGACCGGGATGCCATGAGGATGCCGCAAGGATGGGGACACCAGAGGGATGGAGATGCCACGGGGATGGGGACGCCACAGGGACACCGTGGGGATGGGGACACGATGGGGATGGGGACACCACGGGGATCATGGAGATGGAACATTGTGGGGCTGGGACACCACTGGGATGGGGACACCGCTGGGACAGGGACGTGATGGGGTCATCACGGGGATGGGGAGACAGAGAACACAGGGATGGGGTATTGTGGAGCTGGGACACCACTGGCATGGGGCACAGGGATGGGGACATCATGGGGATGGGGACACCACAGGGATCATAGAGATGGGGCATTGTGGGGATGGAGCATCATGGGGACGGGGACACCGCAGGGAAGGGGACACCACAGGGAAGAAGACACCACAAGGATGGAGACACAGGGATCAGAGGAATGCGGCATTGTGGGGATGGGGACACCATGGGGACAGGACCACCGCAGGGCTGGGGACCACCGCCGAGCCGGGTGGCGCGGTCACCCCGTCTCCAGCCGACTGCCGGTGACGTTACGGCACCGGTGCTCGCCGCAGGACGCTGACATCAGGCAGCTGCCCCACGCCGGGGCGGCCTCGGCCGCCTTCACCTTCTTCCGCTCCTACAAGGACGGGCTGTGGCGCTTCGAGTCGGCCGCCAACCCCGGCTGGTTCCTCTGCACCTCGGCACGAGGCCACCAACCCCTGGGCCTGTCCCAGCACCCCGATGCCACCCACCTCCTCGACTTCTACTTCCAGCTC